AATTCCACGATCGCGGCATGATGTATGAGCACTGCGGTGCCGAACGAGGTCCTGTGGGACACCAGCTGCAGGCCGGCGTTCCGTCTCAACTCAGCGATCAGCGCAGGAAAACATGTATTTACTGTTCATTATAACATTCTTAATAAAGCATAACCAGGTTTTCTAATGGGAAATCGGCTGCCCTTTCCCCAGCAAAAAGCCTGCCTCGCTGTCGGCAGTGGGAGTGCAAGACTTGCATTCGTGTTCGGCGAGCTCATCGCTTCGGTGTCAATGTTCCCTCACCACGTCTAGAATATTTTGTATTGTAATAATAATATGTATTGTTTTTTAGTTATTTGTCGTCTGCTGGGATCGCAAGAGGCTGCGTAGCTCAGTCGCAGTGCACCGGCCTGCCCACCACGAACAGGAACAGCGTCATGTGCACCCCAGGCGCCGACCGCCTCAGAACCTCTGAAGCAAACAATAAGGCCATAGTCAATGTGGTTTGAAAAGGATTTATACATCTTGATGAACTTTCGGGTTGCATCTGCGCTTCGCGTTCGGCTACGTAAACAACCCTACAGTGGGAATGGCGCCCCTCAAACTGCTCACAGTCGTCAGTTCCTCGCTCCTCCTACTGGCCAAAGCGAACGGCGGTCCCACAGCCGACCAGACAACTTATAATGTAGCCTTGGGTAGGTTTCCCAGTAACAAGTGTTCTTCTCTGCTTGGCATTTCTCGCTGGGCAAGAACCCGTCACCTGGCAAGTCCAGCATAGTGTGCGGAACAGGGCACAATCCCAGGGAAGAACATGCAGGCTTTCCGCGAATCTAAAAGTTTCAGCGTGAAAGTTTTTGATTGCAAAGGATCCGTCACAAATTCGCAGTGATTTGTTCTTTTTGCCGCAGGAGAAGAGGGGAAATGCCTCGCCGAGGTCAATGCTGCCCGTGTGGCAGCTGGGTTCAGCGAACTCGCACAAGCAGCGGAACCAACAAGCAGGCTGCCTAAAGGAGGCGATTTCCCACAAGTCGATCAACCCAAATGGGCCTGGGAGCCTGTGTGCGAAGCCTTGATTCCAGTATGTCGTTTACACCACTAACTGCCCTCCAAAGGAAACTTACTGTGTGCCCAATTCACCTCGGTGTTTTTGCCAATTCTCCTGCTGCCTCCAGACCAAGACAAAATCAAAAAGGACTGCAGACGCTAACGATAAAGCTGAGTTCCAGAGCGGCACGTACGCATACCTTCCGATTGACGATGCCAATTCCGTCGACTGCAAGGCCGTTGTGGATAAGTGGAAGGACGCCTACAGCAACTTTGATGGATTGCC